GAAGGTTTCTGAAAATGTTTCCTAGTGATCCCCAGTATTCCATGTCCGTATAAAGATTGCTTGCTTCATATTTCTTTGGTTTGAGAAACCAATGCCCCAATGTACCTTCAATAATCTCCAGTGTCCCCAGGATCCTGTGTCTCAATGTGACTCCAAACACCTTTTGCGGGCCGTGGATGGGCCGAAAAACCGTCTGTTTTTTAAAAAAAAAAAAAAAAAAACGAAAAATCGGTCGTTCAATAGGCCGACGTTACCACCAACGGTAAAAAAAATCAGTTGATTTTCGTCCCGTCTACGGCTGGCATTTAATTACTTCTGTCCCTGCAGAGAGCTCCGCTATTATATTTGACATGAAAAAGTATTGCGGTTGCAACAATGTATCTATTTGTATCCATTTCGGATACAGATGGTTTTATTCGGATACAAATAGATACATTGTTGCAACCGGAATACTTTTTCATGTCAAATATAATAGCGGACTGGAATTCTTTTTCTTCCTCTTCTTTTTCTTCTTCTTTTTTCTTCTTCTTTTTCTTCTTCTTCTTGCAGGTCACGGCTCATGCACAGATTTTTTATCGGTAAAAATCACCCAATTTTTTTCCAACTTCACAGATAAAAAAAATGTGCCAAAATCCCGAAAAACGGCCAACCAATTAACCCACTAACGGTGCGAAAATTGGCCGATTTTTTTTTCAGACGAAAAATCGGCTGATTCGACCCATCTATGGCCTGCATTAGTCTTCATCCTGCTCCTGTGACCTGTGAACTCCAGCATTGGCTTGGCTCCTATGTCCCTGTGTACATAAAGCCTGCATCCTGCTTCTGTCACCCTGTGCACCCAATCCTGTATCCTTATCCAGTGACCCTGTGTACTGCACCCAGTAATCAATTTCCAGAGTGTTCCCTGTGCACATCCAGCCTTTCACTCTTAATGAGTTCCATGCACACTGTATCCATATACTGTATCTCTGCTCCACTGTGTCTCCTGTGTTTTCCTCCCAGAATTCTATCTTCCAGCTCCTATGTGCCCTTGTGCACTCCTGCCTTTCAGTGAGCCCAGAACTGTACAATAGTGCTGCACAGTACTCCTGAATCCTGCCTTCCTGCAATTCCAGCTCCTTGGTTCCATTAAACACTCTAGCGCTCGAGTCCTTCCTGCAAGTTCAGCATTCTTGTGCTTCTTTGCAATCTAGTCAGCAGTAGCCTGAACGTGTGTGGCCGAGGGCCAATGCAACTTTGGAGTCACCTACAGCAAAACCTGTTTCCATCATCAGGAGCTCTGGTGAAGATCAGTGGCTTCTAAGACCCTGCATCTGGGAGTCACTTACAACACAACCAATTTCTTCCATCAGGGGCTTTGGTGAAGACCAGCAGCTCCTTAGACTCTGCGCCTTGGTTCACAACTCTACCAAGCGTGCAGGGTGCATGGTGGGTCTGTGATCTTCAGCCATGTGTGACATGTGTCCCCACTTGAAAGAATCACCCCTATATTTGTCCTGGTGATTATCGTTAACCAAGACAGAAAATGAAGGGAAATCCAAAACCGTGGATTGTCACCAGAACATGAGGTGGGGGGAAATCAATTGGGATCCCAGTTCCTTTGACGGGATGCACCAATACCTTTTTTTTTTTTATTGGCGAGTACAAGTACGAGGTGGTATCAAAAATATCTAGACTAGTTCTGTAACACGCTAACAGATGACAGCACAAGGCTGCACACACAGTCACAGGGACCACCAAAGTTCATAAGTCAGTGTGACAAAAGACATCGTTCTGTGTACATTGAGAGCGATTTGTGTCCATACAAAATGAATGAAATTGCACTGCAAAGAATAGTATACGATTTGAACAGGAATGTGTTGCGATTCCTGTCCATATCTCATGTAATTTCCCCACCATGCCTGTGTGAACCCAAGCTTGTCATAGCCTGAGTTCACACCTCTCTGCACCAATCCATACAAAATGAATGAAATTGCACTGCAAATAATAGCATGCGATTTGAAGAGGAATGTGTTGCTATTTCTGTCCATAATGCATTCGGTTTTTTCCACCACTGCTGTGTGAATCGCACCTCATTCCTGTTCAAATCGCATGCTATTCTTTGCAGTGCAATTTGTGCCCATTCATTTTGTATAGACACAAATCGCACCGCAGAGTATCAGGAGCATTTTCGGGTATCAGGAGCATTTTCACGAGTACGGGTATTCGTGGAAATATAGGTCTTGGCACCGATAACAATATCAGTATCCGCAGCCGTGCATCCATAACTATAACCAATCAAAACAGGGATTTCTTTCATTTTGGAGACATTACCTCTCACTTACTATTGCTCTACTTGTTATATTCCTTGCTGTTATGTTCCCCTATGCCCCATCCTTGCTGATTCTCCCAGTGTTCCATTTACAGTTCACAGTCCGCCTCCTGACTCCCCAGTCCATGATTAGACCCCACTGTCATCTCTTTTTTTCCCCAAGGATGATCATCTTCTTTGACTTCCCTTTGTTCTCTATCAATTCACACTCTTTCTCCACTTCATCACCTGCCATGCTCAGAATATGTACATTCAGTTCTCACCACATACACATTACCACTTGCAGTCTGGGCTAATTCTGACATTTTTCATGCACATGTAAAATTCATGTTAAAATCATTTGCTGGAAAATCACTTAGAACACCAAACATTATATATTTTCTGAATGCAAAGACCCTGGAGAATAAAATGGTGGTACTTGCAATTTTTTTATGTCACACAATATTTGCGCAATCATTTATCAAACACAAATTGACAGGAAAAAAAATCACTTAAATTGATTTTAGTGCACATGAACACAATATAATACCCAATTTTTTAGTAAAATATAAAAGATGATGTTGTGCTGAGTATATCAATACCAAACATTTAACACAAGGTTTAAAACTTTGCATGTCTGTGAAATGGCGACAAACTACAATACCTAAAAATCTCCATTGGTGACAGTTCAAAAGCCTTCACAGGTTGCCAGTTTAGAGTTAAAATTGAGCTCTGCTGCTAGAATTATTGCTCTGAGTCTGACTTTCACATATGCAATACATATTTGGTGCAATCACTGTTTACATGTGCACAGAGTGATGGGGGCACTTGACATTTAAAAAAAATTATATTATTTAAATTACATTTATTTTTTATACTGTTTCTTTAATCTTTTTATTCATCTTTATTGCTATCATAAGGGATGAACAACATCCCTTGTGATAAAATGGGCAGTGACAGGTACTCTTTATTGAGAGATCTACGGTCTATTAGACCCCAATATCTCCTCTGCTTCTCCAAGATCGGTTTGATTGGCTGCCTGTCTGGCCTGTACAGGCTAGTAAACAAACATCCAAAAATGGAAGTGATGTAACATTTCACTTCCAGCTTCATTTCTCCCAAAGGAGGGGGAAGGCCCTTCCCCACCCTGTAAAATTGATTGAGTGGATGCAGAGCCGCTCAGATCATGTTTAACAGAAAGCCTATTGCTGGCTGCAAATTTTGATATCAGAATCACTTGTTCCCGAGGATGTATAGGCATGTCCTAGGAGCGGGAAATGGTTAAAGCAGAACAACCTTGTTACTAGCTTGACTTTTGGTGCCAACCTCTTGAAATCCCCTGTACAGCAAAACTTTGACTGGAGAAAGGGTGTGCAGCAGTATAAGGAGCCAATCAGGTGTGCTGCAGTGCTCATATACTAATATGCTCATATGCTAAGAAGCATGCTGATTGAAAGAGAAAGTAGAGTAACAGAGAGATGAGCTCATCAGTCTGCTGCTTCTCCTCTCTCACTATCCAGTCACAAACTAGAAGAGGGACAAGACCTGTAAGCAGTGAAACATCAGGTCCCCTACTCTGCCAGATAAGGCTGTAGCATAGCTGTATACATCTCAAAACTGGATGGACAGAATACAAATCATTAGGCAACCAGGACACCTCCAATATACATTATATTGCCAAAAGTATTGGGATGCCTGCCTTTACATACACATGAACTTTAATGGCATCCCAGTCTTAGGCTGGCCATACACTATACAATTTTCTTACAATTTCCTCTCCAATTTCTGCCCAATTTCCTTTAGATTTACTTTCAACTATGTAGTGCAGGGGCCTGCCTAATTGGATACAATTGAAAGTGTTGTTTAGGTTTGACCTCATATTATATGGTTTTTGGTAAATCTAAAGCAACATTCTCAAGAAAATTGTATAATGTATGGCCAGCCTTAGTCCGTATGGTTCAATATTGAGTTGGCCCACCCGCTGCAGCTATAACAGCTTCAACTCTTCTGGAAAGGCTGTCCACAAGGTTTAGGAGTGTGTCTATGGGAATGTTTGACCATTCTTCCAGAAGCGCATTTGAGAGGTCAGACACTGATGTCGGACAAGAAGGCCTGGCTCTAATTCATCCCAAAGGTGTTCTATTGGGTTGAGGTCAGGACTCTGTGCAGGCCAGTCAAGTTCCTCCACCCCAAACTCGCTCATCTATGTCTTTATGGACCTTGCTTTGTGCACTGGTGTGTAGTCATGTTGGAACAGGAAAGGGCCATCCCCAAACTCTTCCCACAAAGTTGGGATCATGAAATTGACCAAAATGTCTTGGTATGCTGATGCCTTAAGAGTTCCCTTCACTGAAACTAAGGGGCCAAGCCCAGCCCCTGAAAAACAACCCCACACCATAATCCCCTCTCCACCAAACTTTACATTTGGCACAATACAGTCAGGCAAGTTGCAACTTCCAAACCCAGACACATCCATCAGATTGCCAGAGAAGCGTGATTCGTCACTCCAGAGAACACGTCTCCACTGCTCTAGAGTCCAGTGGCGTCATGCTTTACACCACTGCATCCAATGCTTTGCATTGCACTTGGTGATGTAAGGCTTGGATGCAGCTGCTCGGCCATGGAAACCCATTCCATGAAGCTCTATACGCACTGTTGTTGTGCTACTCTGAAGGCCACATGAAGATTGGAGGTCTTTAGCGATTGACTCTGCAGACAGTTGGCGACTTCTGCGCACTTTGCACTTCAGCATGCGCTGACCCCTCTGTCATTTTAAGTAGCCTACCACTTCACGGCTTAGTTGCTGTTGTTCTCAGTTGCTTCCACTTTGTTATATTACCACTAACAGTTGACCGTGGAATATTTAGTAGCAAGGAAATTTCACGGATGGACTTATTGCACAGGTGGCAATCTATCATGGTATCACGCTTGGATTCAATGAGCTCCTGAGGGTGACCCATTCTTTGACAAATGTTTATAGAAGCAGTCTTCATGCCTAGGTGCTTGATTTTATACACCTGTGGCCATGGAGGTGATTGGAACACCTGAATCCAATGATTTGGAGGGGTGTCCCAATACTTTTGGCAATATAGTGTATGTATTTCATCTTTGCATTTAGCTGTTTGCCTGTAGTTCAGGTTTGAGTAGACCTAGAAATGTGTCCTCCCTGTGAGGCATGTCTGTTTTCAGGCCCTGATTTCACCCTTAGGATAGCTATTATAAACAACCCAGTAAAATAGCTCGAACGACTGGTGACAACTGACAAGCATAACTTGGTGTGGAGCAGACATTTTTTACTTATTGTTCTGCTGAACGAACGCCAAGCCATCCATTATTGGTAACGTAACATGAGACAAAAACAGAAATATTACACGCCCCTTAAAAACAATGACCAAAGGTGTTCCTGGTCCTTTGTGAGCCTAAAACAAATTGCACTTTTTAAATTCACACAGGTGCAGAATGATAATCAACAAGGGAACACAGCTACACAGGAAAATCACCTAGTTTCTTGTCCTCACATAATAAGTATAAGTGTATATATGAAGCTACAAACAAATCTGACTGCTTCTGTGTAATGATGTGTTAGTCCGGGGTGTGTGACAGATTTAGTTATATTTACAAAATGAAGTGTATTTTTTTTCATGGTTTCCACAGCTTTACTTCCCCTTGTGAATGCCTCCAGTTGAATCCACCCTGTAGACTTAATGGTATATGCTAGGCTTTAGATATTGTAGCGAATAAAGGAAGTTGGTTTTAGGAAGCACTTTATTTGGATGTTTTAGTGTATGAAAGAGAAATCATCATTGCTTAAAGAGACCCTGACAAATCTCTAAAAGAAATTCAAGAGGTAGCATGCTTTCACTGCCCACCTTACTTACCTCCTTAATGTTCCCTTTCTTCAGTGTCTAATATTCAGCATTTCTTGGAGTGTCAGATGCTTGTGTCCCTCATGGTGCGCTGGTAGCTGTTGCCAACCCTGACATAGGACTCAGCAGTGATGTGGGGGTCAGAGAAAGGAATCAAGGTATGTAACAGGGTACACAGGCACCCAACACTCCCAGAAGTGTCCAGCACCAAAACAAAAAGGCTACGACTGCAGCTCAGGAGCAAAAAAGAGGTAAGGGATGCAGTCCAGAGAGTTAAGTATACTATGTCATGACCTTTGGTGTCTTTAAGTGACCTGACAAGGCCCCTATAAAGTCTCATTGAAATGACAGAAATAGATATTTAGTCTGACAAATTTTGCTCTAGTAATCTCTATTTTCATAGACATACCTCAACTTTCCTATTACAGCAGTTGTGCGGGGTGTCAAGTCATGAAAGTGCAGTCCAACAGGCACCAGGTTTTGGCCATGCTGCCCAGTGCACTCTAGCACAATCTAGCAGACCTGGTCAGACATGCTTTTCTCTCTCCTGTAGCTCTACATATGTGCACAAGGACACTTGTAATGAAGAATATGTTCTTCACTCATCAATGCCAGCATAGAGCTTTAGGGTGGGACGATTTGTGGTTTGGTATATACACTATATTGCCAAAAGTATTGGGACGCTTGCCTTTACACGCACATGAACTTTAATGGCATCCCAGTCTTAGATCGTAGGGTTTAATATTGAGTTGGCCCACAGCTTCAGCTCTTCTGGGAAGGCTGTCCACAAGGTTGAGGAGTGTGTCTATGGAAATGTTCAACCATTCTTCCAGAAGCACATTTGTGAGGTAAAGCGCTGATGTCGGACGAAAAGGCCTGGCTTGCAGTCTCTGCTCTAATTCATCCCAAAGGTGTTCTGTCGGGTTGAGGTCAGGACTCAGGCCAGTTAAGTTCCTCCACCCCAGCATGAAATGATCCAAATTGTCTTGGTATGCTGACGCCTTAAGAGTTCCATTCATTGGAACTAAGGGGCCAAGCCCAACCCCTGAAAAACAACCCCACACCATAAACCCTCTCCACCAAACCTTACAGTTCGCACAATGATGTCAGGCAACTACTGTTCTCCTGGCAACTGCCAAACCAAGACAAATCCATGAGATTGCTAGAGAAGCGTAATTTGTCACTCTAGAGAACACGGCTCTACTGCTCTAGACTCCAGTGGAGGCCTCCTTTGCACCATTGCAACCGGCGCTTTGCATTGCACTTGGTGATGTAAGGCTTGGATGCAGCTTCTTGGCCATAGAAACCCATTCCATGAAGCTCTCTATGCACTGCTGTTGTGCTAATCTGAAGGCCACATGAAGTTTGGAGGTCTTTAGCTATTGACTCTGCAGACAGTTGGCATTGTACGCTTCAGCATGCTCTGACCCCACTCTGTCATTTTACGTGGCCTACCACATTGTGGCTGAGTTGCTGTTGTTCCCAGTTGCTTCCACTTTGTTATAATACCACTAGTAGTTGACCGTGGAATATTTAGTAGCAATTAAATTTCATAGATGGACTTATTGCACAGGTGGCAACCTACCACAATACCGAGTTTGAATTCACTGAACTCCTGAAGCGACCCATTCTTTCACAAATGCTTGTAGAAGCAGTCCTCATGCCTAGGTGCTTGATTTTATACACCTGTGGCCATGAAAGTGATTGGAACACCTGAATCCAATGACTTGAAGGGGTGTCCCAATACGTTCGGGTATATATATTTATATATATATATATATATATATATATATACACACACATTTTGTTTTTACAGATCACAACATTAGAAGGCATACCATATTTGTGTAATTTGAAAATTTGGGTAAAATTTTGCAGATGTCTCCATGCCCTTTAGGGCACGTGTATGCTCAGGCATACTCATGAGATAGCCACACCATGGAAGTGTGTACTCCTTCCACTACCCCAGTCATAGTTCTCTTTCTCTATGAATGGCCACACATCTGAAATTATTATACTATAAATTTGAATTAGAGCTTGTCCTGATCGACAAGTTTAAATTAGTTTGTCCCATGCCTGGCTTCACTGTGTTTAACTACGTTCTTTAACTTGACCTTGGACCCTGATTTAATCTTTTGCCTGGGTGCCTAGGTTTCTGTCTATCACGTTGGTACCATGCTTGGCTCGTCTACTAATCAGTTTCACCACCAGACACACTGGAGTGTTTGCAGTGTAATATCAATACCACTAACAGCTCTAATGAAGCCCTATCTGGTTCTACTGGTGGCAAAGAGGGTTTGTGCATTGTCATTGCCAGTTAAGTTGTTAAGTTAACTTAAGTTCCTCCAAAAGTGTCACTTGAAGTAGAAAGTTCACTCCACTGATTTGCTACAGTATGTGGAATCTTCTTTCTACTTACTTCTAATAAAACTCTTTGAGGAACTATGGAGTGTGGTGTGCAGTCTCTTTGTTTAATATTACACATGTAGGGACAGGCACCCTAGGTGTTTGGCTGCACAGGACACAGGAGCAGTTTCAGGGGATATTTCAGTTAAGTTTGAGATTTTCTCTTACCTAGAACCTGGTCTGTATGCGACCTTCAGAAAAACCTGAGACTGTTTTATACTAAACCTTTGGTAAGAGTCAGAACTTGTAACCTCTATCCACGAGCCCCCATGCTTATATCTAGAGATGAG